TGTGGACAGTTTCCTGCCTCCCTCCCTTCTCTGTCCTCAGTGTCCTTGTCTTTTTTTTTCCTGTGCCAAGAGCTGGACCTCCATTAGGCCCCAAAAGATTGCATAAATATCTCGCCAAGCTGGGGTTGCTTTCATAAATACCCTGTGAGCACATTTTGAAAGCATTAAAGGAGGAAGAAAAACTGAAATTTTCCGGTTCAGAGACAAAAGTCAGAAGTCTTGAAATGACAAAGTTTTTCATGTTGTTTTTATGTCAGTTGATCTTCACTAATGATTTAGTAATTTTATTCTCTTGTTACAAATATAAGAGTCAAAAGGATTAAGAAAATGATTAAAATAATAAAAGACTAATTTTCTTTACTGTATCTGGACTGATCAAGTTGTGTCACCCCATTCTGAACCTGAAAAAAAGCCCTCAAAGAAATCCAAAATATCAGACATTGTACAAATGAGCATGATACAGAAACACATGTAAGAGCATGGTAACTGACTATGCTCTTCTCCTTTCTTTATCCCACTCCAGCATATAAAAGACTATATCGACATGTGTATGTTAAGTGGTAGGCTTGTACAGGGAATTCTGTCACAGTCTGGCTGCGAAGCAGAATGTGTGGGGTGAGGAGGTGGAACCAAGAGTTTTGTCATGCGAAGAGACAAAACAAAACTTGAGAGTGACAAAAACCAGCTGTTTGTTAAGGCTGGCAAAATAGTACAGAACAAAAGGCAAAGCTGAAACTAAACAATAAACTAAGCTGGGTGAACTAAGATTAAAACATGAAAAAACCTTGAACATGGAAACCTGGCATGGACACATGGAAGAACCTGGAGCCATGACATGGACATAGACAACCTGACCACGACTGAATGAAAACACACAGACTAAATACACACAGGAGGTGATCAGGGGAAGTGGAAACACATGGGGAAACAGCTGACACAAATGAACATAATGACGGTACAATGGAAGAGTAAAACTAAACACACTGAACATAGGAACACAAGATCTCTTCAAAATAAAACAAGAAACATAATGAGAGGCAGACATGACAACACAAACTTGACGACATAAGCCACGCAGACATGAAACACACGAAGGCCGAGGGAGATTTAAACACAGGGGTAGGAGACACAAGGGGAATCTTGAACCATAAACCATAAACATCAAAAATAAGCTA